ACATTGCATGAATGTTTCAATGAATTCTGTAATGTACTTTATTTTCGCTCAGAATTTGTTTTATGAACAAATATACTTTTTTTCTATATTTTACATTTTCATTGAAAATAGGTGAAAATGAACTCCATACAAAACACTCAAAATATTTTGTTTCTGAGAAAATTATTCCAGCTAAAATAAAGTATTTTACAGTACGTTACTCATAAATGTCTGTTTTGAATAGTATGTAAATATTATGTAAATTAGTATGTAAATTAAGGAGAGCACTGTATTTATCACTACACTTTATTGTGTATTAGCCCCGGTAATGGTATAACTCAATACACATCATGAATGTACATACTCACTCACAACATATCCTATATTCAACATAACCATTCACTTCTAATACAGCAAATACAATATTAGGAATTTTCCAGTCAGCGAAATAAGCTAAATTAAAACCCAGTGAATAATTAACCCTTTTACAGTAATACAATAATAGAGTGCATATATTTATTATTCTATATTTTTTACACAATATAATTACCTCTATCTATGGTAATAATGCAAATTTATTAAAAGATGAACTTATTTATTCATAACATGAACCACTGTGTAATTAAATGCACATTATTACAAATGTGGAGATTTTTTGAAGGAAATGTTGGTATTGTAAAATAAAATAGAGCTTAGACTGACTGCATACTTTCATTACAGACCAAGGCAGGTATACATGCCAGAATACATGGTATATGATGAACACCAGGCAGATGCAGATGCTGAACCATATTATGCCAGACAACCTCCATACTCACTTCATGACAACATAAGTGTATTTCAACGAGATGGTGCAAAGGCTACAGATAAAACAGTCAGGTTGCCTGAGATAAAACGACCGCATAAACGACATACATTCCAAAAAGTACAGAGCAATAAACCAGCTGGGTTGGATAGAACAGGAAAGAAACAACAACCAGCAAACAGGTTGAGATTTCCTCCGTTGTGAGTCAGTATTGCTATATTTGTGACTTTGCATGCATCAAGGTTTAAAGTCATCAAGATTAGACATGGCTGGGATGAAACTATAGCTTTATCCTAATGTGTGTAAATCAAATTGGGATTGCATAACTTCAACACACAAAGGAAACAAGACATTTTCCATTTCTCATCCATCTATGATGGTATCTTGTACAAAACGGTCAATCCTACTCAAAGTGCTAAAACTGAATATGAACTAATTTGACATAAAAGTGCTAATATTGTGTGATTTCCTCATTTACTACAAAGCATACTCACCATATTTGAGACAGTGCATGATGTGCATCATATCATGTGT